TTTGAACATTATTGTATATACATCTGATATCTTATATATATATATATATATATATATATATATATATAAGGGGAATATATGAGAAGGACTGCTCTCTGACAGACACTGGTTTCGTGAGAATCATCCAGTAATAACACTTATATTAATAACTAGTTACCTTAGCTGTTTTATTCTGGTTAATAAGCATCATTTGAACTCACCAGTCCTTGAGATTGAATAAATTCGTCCAGTGAGCAAATGTTCTTCTTCTCCGGCTGTTTCTCCATCTCAAACGTCCGCGTCGCGTCTGTTGCTAGGAAACCAACAGCCACTCTTCCTCGCACGCCCCGCTGGATGACGCGCAGCGCTCCGGCCGGAGGAAGTGCTCGCGTCGCGTCGCGTCGCGCATGTTCTACTGCTAGTTGCTGCGCGCTGGTCGGGCTGGAGCCGCGGGACGTTCCGAGCGTCAAGGTGCGTGAAAACATCGCGTTAAACAGCGACGCATCATAACGCGCATTCATACTGGCGTCAGTAATGACTTCATTCAATATCCTTCAGTTCAGCGTCGCTTCTGTCATCATCATCATCCTCATTCCGTCCCAAACTGGGAAACGCAAAAGGAGAGGTTTAGCAGAATGTTCACGCTGCTCTTTACAGTCAATGAAAGTAAATGGGGACTGTCGCTGTAAAGCTCCAAAATGACAAAAAAAAAAAGACTGATTTTAATAGTAGTCATTTACCTGAATTTCCCAGAACTGAAAAACTTCTGCGGGTCTCTTCTGAGAAACTGATCAAAATTAAATGAGTTATTAAATATCTGTCAATGACTCGCACCTTCAAGTTATAAATTACATTCAAAATAAGGCGGATAAAGAGAAGCAGAAACCTTACTGGATCTTGCACTAATAGAGCCGTTATGAGTTTCATTCCCTAAAAAGTATAAAAATGATCCAGTTTTTTGGGTCACAATGGCCAGAACACAACATGAGGGTTAAAACAAGAAAAATCACATGGTTGCATACGTCGCATGACTCAAAATCACGATCAAAAAAACAAAACTTGAGCAAATAATAAATAAATATGAATTCATTTTGTACATAAATGGTATATGACTAGTGCATCTAAATAAATGAACTAAAATACAAATGCTATACTAGAAATAAGCAACATTCATGACGTATTAATTCTTCACTTGTTTTGTTGATGATCTCGTTTGGTTGTTGTTTTGTTATTGTAGATTTTTGTGGGGTTTTTGGTGATTCCTTCAGTTGTTATGGATGTTATTTCTCCACAGCTTTACCAAACGTGGAGCTGAAGAGCACAAGAACCTGTTTTTGGCAGCATCAGACACGTACCTGGCCACAATAGAGCTGCTCTTCTTCTCATTCCTGCAGAAACTGATCAGCAAAGCCAAACACGCTGCTGGGAAAGTTTCAAAACCTCAGTCACGTCTGGTTTATTTGAAAGCTGAATCGTGAGATTTAAATACTTTTATTTACAAGTCAAAGCTGCATGCATTCGCTGATTGGCTTCTTGTTTTTAAGGCACTTTAATGTGTAATAAAGCGTGTTCTTGTGCATGTGTCTGGAGCTGTGTGTTAGTAGTAGGCCTCTCTGATTTTGGCCTGTAAACTGTCGCAGGTCTTCTTGGCGTCTCCCAGCAGCATAGCAGTGTTGGGCTTGTAGAAGATGGGATTGTCCACCGCTGCGTATCCCACACCCAGAGTACGCTTCATCACGATCACCTGTGTACGCACACACACACACACACGCAGACACACACACTCACGCGCACACTCACACACACGCACACACTCACACACACGCACACACTCACACACACGCACACACTCACACACACGCACACACTCACACACACGCACACACTCACACACACGCACACACTCACACACACGCACACACTCACACACACGCACACACTCACACACACGCACACACTCACACACACGCACACACTCACACACACGCACACACTCACACACACGCACACACTCACACACACGCACACACTCACACACACGCACACACTCACACACACGCACACACTCACACACACGCACACACTCACACACACGCACACACTCACACACACGCACACACTCACACACACGCACACACTCACACACACGCACACACTCACACACACGCACACACTCACACACACGCACACACTCACACACACGCACACACTCACACACACGCACACACTCACACACACGCACACACTCACACACACGCACACACTCACACACACGCACACACTCACACACACGCACACACTCACACACACGCACACACTCACACACACGCACACACACACTCACGCGCACACTCACACACACACACATACACACACACACACTCAGACACACACACTCACACACACGCACACACACACTCACACACAGACACACACACTCACGCGCACACTCACACACACACACACACACACTCACTCACACACACACACTCACTCACACTCACACACACACACACACACACACACACACACTCCAGTCATGACTGATTCACTGCTGCAGTTCATACTAGGACTGTCTTTTAACGTGTTCATTTGGTGTGATTAATTATGGAAAGCATGCATCTGCCCCTTTCAGAGCTGTCTGTCATCTTCCACTGATGCAGTGTCTGATGATCAGGATGAAGGATGTGTGATAGAGTCTATTAGAATGAGGTTATATGCGTTTAGTAATATCACACCAGCAATAGTGCTGTTTCTCCCCAATATCTGCACCACTGCAAACGTGATATAGATTTATACAACAAACAAGACGTTAATATTGTGTTGCATTTTAGACTCAATATTGTCAATATTTTACTCAATTTCACAAACTAAAACAGTTGCAATCAAAGTCACGGCAGAACTGTTGAGCGTTTGATTCCTTACTGAATGAATCAGCTTTGTGTCAATCAATGATTCAGTGACTCATTCATAAAGAGAGTCACTTGCTCCATTTCTGAATGAATCAGCCGTTTGAATGAATCAGTTGAATGAATGATTCAATGACTCACTCATTACCGCCACCTACTGGCGCTTTAGTTTCATATTGAGGGTATCATTTCATTTTGTTAGAATCATATGTGACCCTGGAGCACAAAACCAGTCATAAGGGTTTTTTTTTTATTATTGAGTTTTATGCATCAGCTGAAAGCTGAATAAATAAGCTTTCCATTGATGTATGGTTTGTTAGGATAGGACAATATTTGGCCGAGATACAACTATTTGAAAATTTGGAATCTGAGGGTGCAAAAAAATCTAAATATTGAGAAAATCATCTTTAAATTTGTTCAAATGAAGTTCTTAGCAATGCATATTACTAATCAAAAATTAAGTTTTTATATATTTACAGTAGGACATTTACAAAATATCTTCATGGAACATGATCTTTACTTAATATCCTAATGATTTTTGGCATAAAAGAAAAATGTATAATTTTGACCCATACAATGTATTGTTGGCTATTGCTACAAATATATCCCAGCGACTTAACACTGCTTTTGTGCTGCAGGCTCACATCTCATATTTCAATATTCATTAAAAACATTGATACTCAATTTATTATCATCATTTATGCAATGTTGAATCAAAATACTTTTAACACAATTATGACTTCAAATGATCTTTTAGGGGGTGATTTCTCAACCAAAATTGATGTGCGATTAATTGACAGCTCTAATGATTGCAGTAAACCTCGCACCTGTTTGGACTTCCAGACTTCCAGCACAGGCATCCCGGCGATGATGGAGTTGGGATCCTCCTGCGCGGCTGAGTTGACCGTGTCGTTGGCTCCGATCACGAGCGCCAGGTCGGTTTCTGCACAGACACAGCGAGAACAATCAGAAGAGCTATTAGCCGCTCTCATGCGATGGGATCGGGTTTCTCCTCGCTCTACATGCTTATCTGCGCCAGCTAAACAAAAACACCTGCTGCCCTCCGACTCGGACCGCACAGACGCCAGTCGCTGCAACACGGGGTCGCTGCGATATGTTGCATGTCTAGGCACAATTACAATATCAAAGTGAATTATTACAAAGATCAGAGTGCACATGTGTCCCGACCGCTGCCAAATAACTTTACAGCCGTCTGTGGATCATCGGCTCATCCGTCTGACAGATACGACGCCTTTCACACTGCACCTCAAATCACTCGCTTTATATTTCATGGAAAACAGACTTTGCATGTGCTATTTAACACATATACTCTACCGCTCGAAACTTTGGGGTCTTAAAAAAAATACTTTTATTGATCAAGGCTGCTTTAAAATTGATCAAAAGTGACAGTTAAGACATGTTACAAAATATTTCAATTTCAAATAAACGCTGCTCCTTTGAACTTTCTATTAATCTGTGAATCCTGAAAAATAAAATGTATCAGTTTCCACAAAAATATTGTGCAGCACAACTGTTTTCAACACTGATAATAATCAGAAATGTTTCTTGAGCAGCAAATCAGCATATTAGAATGATTTCTGAAGATCATGTGACACTGAAGACTGGAGTAATGATGCTGAAAATACAGCTGCGCATCACAGAAATACATTACAGTTTAACAGAGATTCACATAGAAAACAGCTGTTTTACATTATAATAATATTTCACAATTTTTACTGTATTTTGATCAAATAAATGCAGCCGTGGTTTGAAAGAGACTTCTTTGACTACTGTTTGTGCAGTAGTGTAGATAGATACTAAAGATTCAGAGTTGATGTAACGGTTGGATCAGTAGTTATTTAAATATATAACAAATTTAAAGCATAGCACTTGATTTCTGTAAAATAAGAGTCAAGCAGCAATGTGCATCTCTGCACTTTCAACAATTACACTAAATGTTATATGTGTCTCTGCAGCACAAAAGCAGTCTTAAGTCGCTGGGGTATATTTGTAGCAATAGCCAACAATACATTGTATGGGTCAAAATTATACATTTTTCTTTTATGCCAAAAATCATTAGGATATTAAGTAAAGATCATGTTCCATGAAGATATTTTGTAAATTTCCTACCGTAAATATATCAAAACTTAATTTTTGATTAGTAATATGCATTGCTAAGAACTTCATTTGGACAACTTTAAAGATGATTTTCTCAATATTTATCAATGGAAAGCTTATTTATTCAGCTTTCAGCTGATGCATGAATCTCAATTTCAAAAAAATTGACCCTTATGACTGGTTTTGTGCTCCAGGGTCACATATAACAATGTCGTTGAATGCACATCAGCTGATCCTGACCTGGGAAATCCTCGTTGATCTCGTCCATCTCTAGAACGACGTCGTACGGGACGCCAGCTTCGGCCAGAAGCACATTGAGCTGTCCAGGCATGCGGCCCGCCACCGGGTGAATCCCGAACCTGAGCATGATAATCACGGTTTCATCAGGTTTACATCAGAATGAAGCTTTTCAACATCAGAACACTTGGGAGATTATCCTTCATGCTGTAAACTCTCCATCTGCGCCGCTCTGATGTAAATACTCAGAGAATGTTCTACACTTTCCCTCTTTATTTACAGAAGGGCTGCATTTTCACCAGTGCTTCTTATTAGACGCAGATGTGTTTCGTCTTGTTTTTAACAGAATTACGCGGCTGGCCTGCCAAGTGCTCAAGACATTGGACGTGAAGTGAGAATCCAGCATGCCGTTATTTCTGGAGCTTAATTTGATCTGATCTGAACATGAGCGCGTCTGACCTCACAGTCTTGCCCTGCTCTCTCAACATCTTCACCATGTCAGCGATGGGATACTGAGCCTTGGCCGCACACAGACCCCAGCCTGCGCAGAGAAAACACACACACACACACACACACACACACACACACAGATTCATGTTAGTTATTAATCCTGTGTGTTTTCTGAGAACCTCAGGCGCTGTGAGGTCAGCGAGGAATCCCCTAAAGTCAAGATCCATATTTGCTTCATGTTTGCTGCTAATGTCTGGAGGAGCGTGGAGAGTTGTGTCATGGGCCGCGTGTGTGCTGACTCTCAGGGAACTCCGTTTGATTGCATTCAGATTGCAGAGTTTCCTGAACTCCAGATGTCTCCCAACAGGACGATCGCGTGTGGAGACGAGACACGCACACACGTGTGGCCCGTGTTTCAGGGTTCTCTCGGGTTCAGATTTCTCAACTAGGATTTGATTTGAGACTAAAGTGTGCATATTATGTGTTAAACTGCTTAGAGGAACAAACTTTTAAACTGATATGCATCATGTGATACACATCAGATAATAATAATTAGTTTGTCGTGACACCGGAATGTTATAAATCAAAGCCAAAACAGATTTCATAATGCTGGATATCAGCACAAACCCAGTGACTAACTACTATTCTAATATCCTGAACTCCAGATGTCTCCCTACAGGACGATCGCGTGTGGAGACCAGACACGCACACGTGTGTGACCCGTGTTTCAGGGTTCTCTCGGGTTCAGATTTCTCAACTAGGATTTGATTTGAGACTAAAGTGTGCATATTATGTGTTAAACTGCTTAGAGGAACAAACTTTTAAACTGATATGCATCATGTGATACACATCAGATAATAATAATTAGTTTGTCGTGACACCGGAATGTTATAAATCAAAGCCAAAACAGATTTCATAATGCTGGATATCAGCACAAACCCAGTGACTAACTACTATTCTAATAGCAAATCTCATCTGGGTGATGTTTATATCTTCTGTGACTGTAAGACATTAAGATATTAGAAACATGAACATTATGAATTTCTGTAAAGCTGCTCTGAAACCATGTGGATCGAGAAACACAAATTAAACAGATGGACTCGTTTGTAGTTGATTGTGTCTGTGGAGCTTAGTCTGGTGTTTCTGCAGGTGTGTCTGGAAGACAGCAGGAGAAACAGATGTGTGTGTGTGTGTGTGTGTGTGTGTGTGTGTGTGTGTGTGTGTGTGTGTGTGTGTGTGTGTGTGT